ATATCACTGGAGAATAATGAACAACCTCAGCAGATAACAAATGAGAGTAATGTTCATTAGACTAATTCATCGACACTGAATACAGACCAAGAACTTCAACTAACGCCAGTAAAGACAAATGATGAAAGATTGGAGACGTCTACAAAACGACGTACAAGAAAGACAGCTATAATAACTAACACCCCGGAAAAAAATGCGTTGGCTGAAGAATAAGCAAAAAGAAGAAGACAAAAAGGAATGAAGACATTACAAGAAGGGAAACGGAAAAGCAAGGGGAAATGGATCTCAAGGAAAAGCTAAACGAAGAGTATTACAAGTTTTGTAAGTTTGTTTGGGGCACTTTGAGTTAGAAGGTTTTGAGGAGGACTTAGAAAACGAATAATTAAAACTAGACAACAACAACATATATTTACAACTTAACAACAACTTAACATTAACTGGCGTAACGAAAGGAGAAGAGAAGAGACTTGTTCTGCTGAAGGCGTAAGACGAACTGATTTGTATTTTATGAAAAATGAAAAACTGTTCTACAAGGAAGGAATAGAGAGGGTAGTAGATACGAGTAGGGAAGTACTAAAATATGGAAACTTTAAGATTAGAAATACCAAGAAATTGATGGCCGGTCAACCACCGAAGAAACCGATTGTAAAAATGTAATTAGGAAGGAATGAAAGGTACAGACGTCATGCGGTTAGTACACAAAAGATGAAATGTTACAGGGATTATAGGAAAGTACAGTAATAGAGTTATTTAAATAGATAAGCAAGATACAATAGATTATTTACAAAAGGAAGGAATTTTTATNGACAAAGAAAGAGCGCTAATTGCACTGTTTAGTAAACTGGTTTAAGCAAATATTATAGTAAATCGCTATTTCATAAACATATTATCAATAATTAATACTTGATAATATGTTGGTAATTTACACCACACGTAAATTGAAAGGGAGTTTACAGGTAATTCATGCGTTCACGCGCCGCAGCTTCGTTGAGTAAACAACCATACTCGCGAACATTCGTGACAAAGGATTCTGACGCATGCGCATGCAGAATATGAGCGCAACATTAGCGCATGTGGATTAGGATGACAGAGTATACTACGCATGCGTATAAGGCAAAAAGGCAGGTGTTAACCATGCAGGTGACGTCACGGCTGAAACCGCATTGTGATGGTGGTTGAGAGGCGAAGAACTTGTTTTGTAGGAAGGTGCGGGGTAAGAGGGGAGAAATTGGTAAACGAAGAGCGTTGTCTCATTATGTTGTTGAACTTTGAGTGGAGTGCACACAGAAATTTGGAAAGATGTTTGTTGAAAATGCGAAGAAGTTGACGGTGCAGAAGTCCCATATAGGGAAATTAAGGACGGTTGCTGTAAGTAGAATGAAATATTTACTGAAATGTTTAGTATTAATTATGTAACGGCAACGGGTAGGAAGAAGCTGGGAATCCGGCGGAAAAGTGTGCCGACGACGTCTCCGACGTGGAGCGGTTTGGCGACAACATCCACTACAAAAACGGCGATCCCAGCAGAAAATGAAGGCCTGGTGAAAAAAAGACTTGTGTCTCGAACGCGCCCCGTCGGAGCCACGAACAGAGCCGAAAACGAAGATCATACATCGTACCTATTGTCATTACATCATATATATTGTTATGTTCGTGGGTTTAACAAATTAACTTTTAAGAAGAAAACTATTTATTTACACTAATTACTATTAAACTTAAAAACACTATTAAATTATTACTACTTCGGTAATTATTCTATTTATTTACAGTACTGTTACTATTCACTGTCCTATTTATTTCACTTCTATCACTTTCAATTTATCTCTTGATTGACCTCTGCAACGGTCAATTTATTTCTACTCTACTTCGGCGATCGTCTCTTCCTTTTTATACTCCCTTGCCTCCTTTCGAGAACGTTCTTCAGCCTTCCAGAGAAGCCTCGTTTTCTTTGAACGGTTTAATTGCTTTCCCGGAACGCAGGCACGACATACACGTTTACAAATACGGCGCACATGAAGAAAAGCGCCCGCGGCTAGTCGGCGAATCGATCACGCTCGTTGTCACTACACTACCCCCTCCTTAAGGATGTTTCGTCCCGAAACATTTTTACTTTCTGTTTCTCAGGATCATTCCGGAATCTGCAATTCTCGCCTTCACGACATCCACTCCGGGAATAGAAGTAACAGTCCACGGTCTTCTCATGGTTGGTCCGATTCGGGTTATTACTGCAGATCAAAATGCCTATTCCAGTACGGCGGAACAGGACTTCGATCATGTTCCATATGATCCTCCAATCTGGGTTATCCAGTCCACAACCAAGCTTTGGAATCGCCAGCTTCTGTAGGTCTTTATAAGTGGGGTTATCAGAGCATCTTCCTTTAGTTACCAGGTAATAGATATTGCGTCGTCCGTCAGGAAAGCACAACAGTGTTTTTCCTTTCTGTACTTGGTCTTCAAGATGTTCCAAATCACCAAATCTGCGTTTGAACTCGGACGCGATACCACGGCTCATTCTGAGATCCTTTGAAACGCAATGGGCCAGAGAATATTCCTTGGATATAGCAAAGAGGTCTCGTCGGATTTCTTGTGTCACTCCAAATTTCCTGTTAACATGGGGGCCTTCCTCCATGAACTCTTCGAATATGGGCTCGGAAGGAGTAGTTCTTAATAATCTGGCCCGCGCCTCCTCTTCATTTGCACCGGCGAATGGAGCCAAGCGATTAAAATGGACTACCTTCGGCTTCCCATTTGGAGTTTTCTTAATTCGGTAGATCTCGTCGTTAATCCTCTTCACTATCTCATAGGGTCCTTCCGAATTCTGTCGGAACTTAGGTGATAGTCCACGGCGACGACAAGGATTATACAACCAAACAAGATCTCCTGTTTGGTAACCACCTGCTGTAGCCTTGATGTCGTAGTTTTCTTTAATCCTGTCACTAGCAATCTGTGCAAGCAGACGAACCGACTCGTGGATATCGTTAAGCTTTCTTCGGAGATCAGTTACATAATCTTCTCCAGCTAAGTCATCTCCTGGTTTACAGCCGAATTTTAGGTCACAAGGTAGTCGTAACTCTCTTCCAAAAAGGACACTGGCAGGTGTTTGGCCAGTCGTTTCGTGGACAGATGAACGGTATGCCATTAAGAATAAAGGCAAATAGCGGTCCCAGTCCCTTTGGTGGTCAGACACTACCTTGGAGAGATATTTAATCAAAGTCCGGTTCATTCGTTCAACCATGCCGTCCGATTGTGGATGGAGTGGAGTGGTTCGAGTTTTCTTTATTCTTAAGAGCTCGCATATTCCACGGAATACAGCCGATTCGAAATTCCTCCCTTGGTCTGAGTGCAACTCCAAGGGCACCCCAAAACGACTGATCAACTCTTTCACCAGCTCCTCAACTATGGTTTCCGATTCTTGGTTCGGAAGGGTATAGGCTTCAACCCACTTGGTAAAATAGTCCATAACGACCACGATGTACTTGTTACCTTTCTCGGACTCTGGGAATGGACCCGCCACATAGATTGCGATTCGTTCGAAGGGGCCACCGACATCGTATTGACGCATTGGCGCCCTTGACCTTTTCTGTGGTCCATTACTTGCAGCACAGGTGGTACACTTCTTACACAAATCTTTAACATCTTCCTTACAGTTCATCCAATAAAATCGCTCTCGAACTTTCCCAAGCGTCTTATTCACTCCAAAATGGTCACCAGATGATCCATCATGAAGATACTGCAACACCTCTCTAACCTTGTTTCGAGGAATAACCAGTTGCTTCCTATCTTCTCCATCTCGACTTTCAACAACACGCTTCAGAATGCCATCCTCCAATACCATTGAATCCCACTGAGCCCATAACGATTTTAATACTTGGGTACAGAAAGAAACTTGCTGCCACGTTGGCCGTTTTCCGTCTTTTTCCAACATCTTAACTTTTGGGTTGCTATATCGAACTTGGAGATGATTCGGCAGACGGTTTCTTCTAAAGATTCTGACTCTATCCCGCTTCCTTGGCTGATTTGGCTGGCTTCGTTGAGTGTACTAGATGCACCAACATCCCCTTCGGTTGTTTCTGTCTTTCCATTAAAAATCATTTCTTCCAGCACTTTTATCTTCTCTTCTGTTTCTTGAATATTCTTATTAAATTTTTCTTCCCATTTATTCTCCAATTCACGTTTCAAACTTTTACTATTTTCTTCCAATTTATTTTCCAAACTTTTACTGTTTTCTTCTAATTTATTTTCCAAACTTTTACTGTTTTCTTCCAATT